TAAAACTGTATTATAAAGTTTCTTGAAAAATTTTTTTATTTATTTTTTTATTTTATTTCACCAAATTTACAAAGAATTACTCGATTACATTTAGTTTAATCTTTACTAAAATAACAGCAAATATAATAAAACTAAACTATAGCAACATTAAAACTAAAATAATTAAAAATTTCAAAATAAATACAATTTCTAAACCTTTCACTAAAATGAGAATGAACAATGTAAATCTAAAAACAAAAACTAAATCCAAATATTAATAAAAACTATAATAGTATCTCAGTGATACCTAAATAACGCTGGTTTATTTACTGGATGTTTTAAAGGTGCTGTAAAATGGGGACAGTTCCAGTCAAACAGGATTGTCCCTGGAAAACGGGGACGTCTGGTTACCCTGTGACCGTCTTGGATTTAAATTTTACTCAAGCGTTTATTCTAAAAGTCAGGACTTCCATTCGTAATGCATGCTGGCCGTTCTCTCATTCATTTTTCAGCCAGTGGTCCGTCTCCTCCTCATACCTGCTCTGGTCTAAAGCACAAATGCTAAAAGCTAACCAAGGCTACTCTGTCTTCATCGCTGCGGTGGCAGGGCCAGCACGCTCTCTGATGTGACTTCATGCACCGGTGGCATCACTAACGCTCAGCTGCTCTGCATTCTGACTGACTCACACAGACACACATGAATCTCACTCAAGTGACGTTTACAACATGTCTATATCAGCAGACTGTCACACTTTTGTTTATATAAACATGCTCAAAAAAAACAGATAACTAAAACCTATGACAGCCCCTCCATAAACTGAATGAAAATGTGGTCAGTATATATAAGGAAATTAATACTTTAAGCAAGGATGCATTAAATTGATCAAAAGTGATTTATGCTACAAAACGTTTATATTTCAAAGTTCTATTGTCATTTAATGATTTCCATAAAAATATGAAGCAGCACAACTCAACTGTTTTCAACATAATAATAAGTAGGGGTGCTCCGATCAGGATTTTTGAGGCCGATCAACGATCGCCAATCACAGAAAGCCGATCTTTTTAAAGCCTTCTTTTTTTATCATTTATAACTATTTATAGTGATACTCCAATCAGGATTTTTAGACATTTATTCAGGGCCTGAATTTCATTTTTGAAAATGGGTGGAATTCCCCTCGTAGGTGACTCTTGTGAGGGGGGAAGCAGCTTTCATTCAGGAGTTTAATCCGTTAACATGAGCGCGGAAAAAATATGCACCACATACGCACTGCAAACGGAGTAATGTGAACCTGGCATTATGTGTGTGCGCTGCGAGTGCGAGTGTGCATGAGAGCTCAGTCTCCAGGAGAGCGTGCGAGCGCTGAATGTTTAAACACTGGCAAGAATCGGTCTTTGTCAGGTGACGTCACACTCACGAGAATTGAAGTGCATTTTGGGTATCTCCGCCATTTGTAGGGTATCAAAGCCGAGGTGTTCTGTAGTTGGAGAATTGTCTTTTTTATTTGATTTAAAATGGTACGTTCTTGTTGTGTTAAAGTCTGCAATAGTGAATTACATGATAGAAAAGGTCAAAAACTCACTTAACCTTATGCACCTCAGATTGGATCTGCCTGCACAAACACTGTTTTAGACAACTGTGACAGGCACAAAATTATGCCTCACTAGTTTGTGGAGTCCTTTGGACACAGAATAGCAATGATAGACTGTTTTGAGATTTCCACAGAGAAACCATTCAGTGTGAAAGTGTGTGTCAAAATGTCTTCTACCTACAAGCACTATTTAGTATTTGACAGATCGTCTAGCACTTCTAAGAATCCATGCAGAAAGGGTCATCAGAAATGTTTGGCAGAAGCATCAAATCATCTTATTATTATTAGTAGTAATTTATTCAGTTTTCTTTGTAGTACTTGCACTGTGTCCACTTAAGAAAACAGTGTGTTGATGATTCATCATGCTGGTCACATATTCTATTATGCATTTTGAAACTGATTTTTAACACAGAGTTGCATTAATAATAAAGTATGTATAATGCCATTTTCATAAATGTGTTTTTGATTGTCTCCTTGTTATTAGTACTTATCAGTACTTGTTATCAGCCAAATGAAGTACGGAAAATTGTGAACAAACAGGGTAAGGTTTAATGGTAGAGACTCACATGATGTAATTACTTACAATTGTGCAAATTATGTGTGCAAATCAATGGTAGACAAAAACAGAACATATAAGTGTATAAGTAAATAAAATAAGTTTTTATACTATAAACAAGATAATCATATATCCAACGAGGTTGGAGGCAGCGATGCCGGTGGCACTCAACTTTTTGCGTCAGGTAACGTTAGTATGGATCAGTGTTAATTGTTAATCATCATCAGTGACAAATTACATAAATTACGGTTCCTAAAAAAATTTGCTGAGATTATCTCGGTACCGTATCTACTTGGTTTGCATCTGTTTCTCCAGTATGACGATTTAATCGGTCTTTACTGCACGGCTCTGCACACTTTTAGTTCACTGCTCAATGCAACGATACCTTCAAAATGGCGCCTCGGTGACGTCACACATAATAAACGCACGTGACAGACAAAGACCGATTAAAAAGTAATGCAATTTATAAACTTTAGTGACGATGTGACACTGCCTCGATTGTGCAAGTGACAATTCCTCTGTCAACTGTGCAGCTCGCTTATAGACAGACGCGATGTAGTGATTTGAAGACATTTGCGTATTTTGAGAGACCGCGTGTGCGGTCATTCACTCTCGCTGTTTGTGAAATTACGTCTCACACAATGTTTTCAAATTACTTTATAAGTTATCTAATGAAGAAATATGAAGGTGAGTACCTAACCTTCAGCATTATAATGATTTCACCCGCGCCGATAATGATCGGTAGCCGATCAATCGGAGCACCCCTAATAATTAGAAATGTTTCTCTAATCAGCATATTAGAATGATTTCTGAAGATCATGTGACACTAAAGACTGGAGTAATGATGCTGAAAATTCGGCTTTGATCACAGGAATAAATTACATTTTACAATATATTCAAATAGAAAGCAGTTATTTTAAACTAATAATATTTCACAATATTACTGTTTTTACTGGGTTTTTGATCAAATACAGCCTTGATGAGCATTTCCTTCAAAAACATTAAAAAAAAACTTTAAACTTTTGAACAGTAGGGTATAAATTAAATAAAACTATACTATTCTTAACCTAATTTAAAGCTACAGTGTGTGATTTCTTCACCACTGGAGTTGTTTGACACTAGAAGACAAAGTTAATTCAGTAACCATTTGTCAGACTGATTCAAAACCTGTAAGCCTTTCTGAAAGAGTCATTAAAAATGGCTCAAAAGAATCATTTGACACTAGAAGACAAATTCAGTAAACATTCATCAGACTGATTCAAAACCTTGTGAGTTTTTCTGAAAGATTCATTAAAAACGGCTCAAATGAATCATTTGACACTAGAAGACCACTAAATTCAAAAACATGTTGTCTATTTAGTGTCTTTGCATTGTAACCAGCTTGTTTATCACAATCAATCTAGTCTGCAAGCTCACGACTCAGATGCAATGCAATTTAGTTTGCTATGGCGTTGTGGACTGATCTATAAAAGAAACACTGGCTCATTTCTGTCTTTTATTCGTTATCATATATTTTCATTGTCCTACGCTTGGATGGCTGTGCATTCCCGCCGCGATCTTCATTCTCTGACTTTACATTCCTGCAGTATTTCAAACCATCTCCTCAGATTTACGACAGCAGGACTCTCCAGTCATGAAGCCGTCCGCCGTACATACTCACACCTGCCGCTACAGCATGACCAAAGGCTGATGGGCAAGCAGTTTCTGTGAGATTCATAGAGCAACACACACATGCTTAAGAGGAGAGGAGGGAGTAAAGCAGAGATTGCGTCAGGACTGCGGTGGACTTCACTGCATCCTGTATGTGATCCGACTGTAATGATCTTCCCGCATCTGCACTTCCTCACAGCTGCCAACCAGACACAGCATCTCACACAAAACATACAGATGACGTCAAATTAAACCTGATGATTTACTCACTTACTTTATTTCCAGTCATTCAATCCTGATGCTTGTTGTTCCAGATGAAAATACAGTTTTTGCAGTCTTTATCAAAATGTAATTAATTGCTTTGTTTACCAAAAGTAAAACTACTAAAAACTTCTAGTTTACTAAAACTAAAATCTTTTTTTTTAATAATAATTTGTCACTTTAAATGTTAACTGAAAAAGTTATCAAAATAAAAAAAAATTACTTTTAAGTTGCCAGCGCAACATTTCTTATTTATGTAGTTTAACTTGATGAATTTAAATAAAATGTTATTTTAAAAATGAATAAAAATAACTAAAATTAATGTGAATAAAAACTATACCTTACTAGACATTCCTGGTCATACAATCCTGATGATTATTACAAATGAAAATATTTGTTTTTGTATAGTCTTATTAAAATGTTAAGAAAAAAAACTAGTTTAAATAATTAAATAAATAAATAAAATAAATGTTAACTAAAATAACATTAAAATAATAATCATCATCTCATTTTTTAATTAATAAAATAAATTGAAACTGAAATTAAAAATGAATAAAAACTACACAAATATTAAAACTAATAAAAATGAGACGAAGCAAAACAAATCAAAACAGATGAATAAAAATAAACTTATTCAAAATGTTAGTGAAAATTATAATAGTATCTTGAAGATACTAAAATAACATTGGTTGACATTAGTAAGCTCTTATTTTTCAGCTACTTGATATAGAAACCACTTTTTATCACAAATTTAATCCGTTCTTGGATAAAGTCCACTTTCAAAATACAGTTTCAGTCTGATATGTGTCACAACATTGCAGTAAACTGGTTGTGAACACTGACTTGTCAGCTCTGGTTATTCTGTTTGTGGTCTTTTTGATAGAGGAATAGAGAAAGGAGAGGAAATGATGCGGAAAAAGCGACAGGAATGGGATTGGGAAATGATGCAAGTCGACGTGTCTCACCGTTCTGCGTGAGTTTGGTGGAGCAAACAAGCGTCGAGATCTGAAACGAGTCTTTGCTGATGGAGAAGCTGCCCAGATTCTGCGTGTTCTTCCCAGACGATGGGTTTCTTTCCTCCATCTCTGGTTTGGTGGAGGCCAAGCTCAGGTACATGGTGGAGTCCTCCAGTTTCTTGGCTTCAGCCTACAAATATATGAACACACAGTCATGAGTACAACACTGGTTTGCACGAGAGACTGAGGAATGCATTCAGTGATTGACAGCTGTCAGTCAGTCAACACACTCTTCAGGCTTGTTTAAATGAAATTTACATTTTCTTTAATGTAGCCAGTTTTACACAAGCAGTAAAACCAATATCAGATCAGTTTGTATGAGGGTTAATTTGCACAGCTCAAAAAGGATTTGACCAGGCGAAGTTCCGCATTAATGAAGCTCTTTAATATGCAGATATGAAGAGACTAAATACACGAACAAAGCTTAATTGCATAATGATTACATTGTGATGTGGGGCCAAAGGTTAAATGAGACAAACGAGGACAAGCAGCATCAGTATACAGCTCACATATATGTGTGTGTGTGTGTACCTGTTTTTCTATTCTGGTGGGGACTTAAACCTGAATACACACAGACTCATGGGGACTCGTGTCACGGTGGGGACCTAAATTGAGGTCCCCACGGGTAAACAAGCTAATAAATCACACAGAATGAAGATTTTTGACAATCTAAAAATGCAGAAAGTTTCCTGTGAGGGGTAGGTTTAGGTGTAGGGTTGGTGAAGGGCGATAGTATATACGGTCTGTACAGTAGAAAAGCCATTACGCCTATGGAGAGTCCCCACAAGGATAGCAAACCAGACGTGTGTGTGTGTGTGTGTGTGTGTGTATGCGATTGCGTTTTCACCTTATAGACGATGAGATCGTGTTCTCCATCCCTCAGCGTCGTGCCGTCATACCTCATCAGCTTCACAAACGACAGAGCAAAGTTCTTCTCTGATTTATCCTTGCCTGTAGAGAAATTGCATATTTATTATAATTTATTAATAGTCGACCTCTAAACATTTGTTCTTTGCATGCACTAAAAAGAACAATGCATTCAGAGAGTCATGCCAATTAAATAAAACCAGTTTTGAATCTGAACTGAACTAAAATGGAATATGAATCTGAACTGCAACTGAATATAAACTGAATTGAGACCAAGGAACGGAGAGGAAGAGTATCATGAACAGCGATGACTTGAGACACAAACAACGTTATTGTATAAAATTAGCTATTTTAAACATCTAAATGTATGTACGTTAAATATATTTATATTTAACAATTGATATATATTTTAATTTTTTTATATAGCATCTACATTTTAAAGTAAACAAACATTATATTATAAATGATAATAAATTACATAGAATATAAATTTATGATATATTTTAAATATTTTTTTAATATGTTAATATATAAAGTATATGAATTTCTATATATATTTCAAACAAACATTATATTATAAATGATAATAAATTACATAGAATATAAATTTATGATATATTTTAAATATTTTTTTAATATGTTAATTTAATATATAAAGTATATGAATTTCTATATATATTTCAATTGTTATTGTCATTTAATTATACATAATACAATTATATATACATTTATTTATTCACATGAATGATTGACACTTGTAGTATTATATAAAATAGATTATAAAAATAAGTATAAAATATTAACTGAATTTGGATCTGCTTACTTCGGAGAGGATTACGTTCCTCTTCTCATAACCTTGACAGTATATCAAACACAATCATATTTCAGTCAGACAGCACCTCTGACAGTCTGTGTGCTTCATCAAGAGCTACAGCAGCGTCTGCGTGAATCTGACATTAAAAATCATCCCTGAGGAACTTCATCCCAACTGGGAATGTCAACAGCAGTCTATGGAGATCCACACAAACACCTGAACCTCTGAACTCACAATGCTCTGCTGACAGAGAGTCAGAGAGGTGGAGAGGTCAGGAGATGACCATCATCATCATCATCACTGCAGTACCAGGACAAAGGGAACATGAGGGAAGCAGGTCCGCATCCTGCAGAAAGACTCTGACGGCAGCAGACTGTCTCAATCAGGAGGAGATGATGTTTACTGGTGTTTTTTTCTTACATTCAGAATTCAATCCATAAGAGAAAGACAGACAGGCAGACATGTGCGGTATGACAGGGATGAAGATCCCTACAACTGATTCTCCCTGACATTTGACTGCCTGTCAGCATCAATCAGTACAAGAAAACAGATTTTAATACCAGTGTCTTAAAACTTAGATGCCCACAGAAATCCCTACAAACTGAACAGAACTCAATGAACACAAAAAGACCATGGAAACCCCTTTGAACTGGACTAATTATGAACAAAAATGTACTGAATATGAACTGAATTGAAGCTGAAACAAATTACAACAAATAGAAATAAAATAATTAATTTTTAATTGTATTTTAATTATTTTTATTTTATTCTATAAATTCTATAAATTTATTTTCAATAGTAATTATTTTAGGTATCCAAAAACCAAAACATATAACATTTATTTATTCATTCTATTTTGAATTCTATTTTTTGTTTATTTTATATATAACAAATGCTAATTATTTTAAGTATCTGAAAACCATGCTTATTTATTTGTTTTTTGCTTGTTTGATTTTAGGTTAAAAAAAATTCAGAATTTGAAATAGACTTAATCTGAACTGACTCTGAATTTAAATGTCAGCATTTTAAAGTTCAGGTGACCATGAGATCTCTAAATTTTGAATTTATTTTATTTTTCTCATAAACATATTTATTTGCAGAACCACAATAAAGAGAGAAACAACTTCACATATGTGCTAAAAGTTTGGGGTCAGTAAGATTTGTTGATGTTTTTGAAAGAAGTCTTATGCTCACCAAGGCTGCATTTATTTCATAAAAAAATTCAATAAAAACAGGAATATTGTGAAATATTTTTCCAATTTAAAATCATTTAAATCATAAAATCATTTAATCATTTAAAATTAAAATTTTCTATTTAAATACATTTTAACAAGTAATTTATTCCTGTGATGCAAAGCTGAATTTTAAGCATCATTACTCCAGTCTTCAGTGTTCATTCTAATATGCTGATTTGCTGCTCAAGAAATATTCTTTAATGAATAGAAAGGGTAAAAGAACAGCATTTATTTGAAATATAAATATTTTGTAGTATCACAAAATACATTGCTATCTTTTTTTAATAAACTGAATGAGTTCTTGCTGAATAAATGTATTGATTTCTTAAAAAAAAAAAAAAACTTCTGACCCCAATCTTAGTTGCACTAGCCAGATAGTCCAGATCTGACACAAAAATAAACTTCAGAATGACAACTTATTTAAAAAAAATAAATAAATAAAAAGTGACATTTCAGCACTTCCAGACAACTGTGCTGAGATCAGCAGTCACTGTGTGAAACGTTGATACTGTCATAGCGTTTACTCTCAGATCAGCTGATGAGACGTTTATTTGCTCCAGATTGTCTGCTCGTGCTAAATGAGTTGATTTACATCCTCCGCCCAGTGCCTGGAACCAGTGCCCGACAACGAGACCCCGCCCCTCTCATCCTGGCGCTGCAACGGCAGCATGTGCTGGGCAGATGGAGCGGCGCTGCTGCCAGGATAAGGTTGAACATGCGCGGATAAGCGTGATGACCGCAGCCCCACGCCAGACGCCGCTTGGCCCATAAACAAGCTATCAGGCTTCGCAAACACGCCCGTGTTCACTGCCAGTATGATTCAGAAACTCCCTCTCAGCAAAACACACAAACAAACAGCCAGAAAAAACTTCAGACCTGCGGAAAAAACTTCGAGTTATAGATTTTCTGAACGGATTATGAGTGGCGTTTCCTCGTGCTGCAATGCTAGGGTGTTCTGGGTGTTAGCGATGGCATTTCATGGGGTTGCAAAGGTATTCAAAATATTACAGTGTGCTGCTGTGTGGTTGCTAGGGAGTTCTGGGTGGTCGTTTAGGCACTGGTATGTTGCACAATAAATAAGCCTTGGATGAGTGTATACTGCCAGTATATAATGGGTTAAATAAATAATTGGATAGATGATTATGTGTAATACTAGTCTTACAAAAGCAGGATATTCACCAATTAAATTCTGAAGTACCTAAAATAATTAGTATTAGTTATTAAATAAATAAATAAATAAATAATGAAACATAATTAAAAAATATAATTAAAAATAAAATAAAATGTTATGCATATTGGTTTTCAGATACTTAAAATGATTAGTATTGTTTATAAAATACTAAATAAAAAATACAATTAAATATAAACTAAGATTAAACAAAAATAAAACGAATAAAATAAAAAAACAAAACAAAATAACTTGTGTGCATTGTTTACATATACCTAAAAATTAATATTGGAAAAATAAAATAAAATAATGTATTGTTTCCAGATACCTAATATAATTAGTATAATGTTTTTCATGTGTTGCTAGGGAATTCTGAGTGGTTACTAGGATGATTCAAGGTATAATTCCTTGTCTGTCGAAGTGTAAAACTCTGCTGTTTGTTCAAATAGCTAACCCTACATATGAGCAACAGTAAAGACAAGCACCACTAATACACACTTAACAGTCTATTCAATAACCGCAAACTCATTCAGATGCAAATGACTAGGGCTGCCGTCGACTAAGGATTTTTCTGGTCGACTAGTAGTCGTTCATTTGAAGCATTAGTCGACTAATCGCACGTTTATTAATAAACCATTTAAATCATTATAATGAGCCTTTAATTACCTACATAGCCTAATAAAGACTGCATTAGCATTTTAATAATTTGATAAACTAGTGCTTTCTTTGTTTTCAGCTTCAGAGATGAAGTCGGCGACACGGACTCGTCATCTCCGCAGTAGTGATGCGCCTGTATGCATGTTTCATACGGATTACATAATCTGAGAAATTGTTTTCCATTTGAATTGTTTCATTTAAAGTAGACATTTCACTCTCTCTATATATATTTTTCATGTCTGTAAGGCAAAGATATACATGGAGTTTCACGCTCAAGTTCACAGAGACCGAGACGAATAAACGTAGAGTCTTTACAGATTTGAAAGATGTATTACACTCTTATCTGTATGATCAAAAATGACTAGTATTTTAAGAGTAAGTGGAGCGCACCGGCGCCTCCATCTGTCACACAGTGAGCAACTGTTCAGCTTCCGCACAGACACTTGAACAGTGCATATTTTTCCAGGTTAACATCAGATTGAGCGGCCATGTAAAGTTGCTAATACTTACATATTTCAGATGATAAGCCATATTTGAG